GGTGCATCCCCAGATGGAGGGCCCCGGCAGGAATGAAATGATGTGTGTGTGTGTGTGTGTGTGTGTGTGTGAGAGAGAGAGAGAGAGAGAAAGAGAGAGAGGGAGAGACTCATATATGTGGATTAGACTTTCATTTCATTTCCCCCAAAATGTACATTTCCCATAAGAGGTTTGAGGCACGAGCTAAAAAGGACAACAGCATAGTGAAGGATAAAGATAATGTCTTTTGTCAATTTGCAAGCATCAATTTGTGGTTCCTGTTGTGAAGTACCACAAACTGGGTAGCCATAGCTGCAGAAAGGGCAAAAACCTAAACTCAGGACGGTGGCAGCAGCATGGGCCCCTTCTGAGTGCCATGAGGGCAGCAGCTGCCCCCTGCATGTCTCTTGGGCCTCTGTGCCTGTTTATGTACAAATGTCCTACATGTAAGAACATCAGGCATGGGGCCTGGTACTGTAGCCTAGTGGTTAGTCCTCATCTTGCCCACATTGGGATCTCATATGGGCAACCAGTTCATATTCTGGCTGCTTCACTAACCATCAGTCTCCCTGCTTGTGGCCTGGGAAAGCAGTAGAGGATAGCTCAAAGTCTTGGGCTCATGTACTTGTGTGAGATACCTGGAAGAAGTTCCTGGCTCCTGGTTTCAAATAGGCTCAGCTCCAGCCATTGTGGCCACTTGGGGAGTGAACCAGCAGACAGAAGATCTTACTCTCTGTCTCTTCTCTCTGTAAATCTGACTTTCCAATAAAAAAGAAGGAAAGAAAAAGAGAGAAAGAGAAACAAAGAAGGAAAAAAAAAGAGAACAGCATGTTGGTCCAGGGACCCCGTAATGACCTCTGCTGGACCTTGATTTCTACTACAATGATCTCATCTTCAAATGAGGTCACATTTTGAGGTGCTCTGAGTTAGGACAATGATGCAGCTTATTTTTAAAAGTTTTGGGGGTGATGATAGTAAGAGCACAAACCAACTCTTAAAAGGCCCAGCTACTTCTAGAAATTCTTTCTCCTCTCAAAAGATAGAGACAATAAGTAGAAAGAGCTCCTGTCTGCTGTTTCACTCCCATCTGTCCATAGTGGCCCAAGGCTGAAACTAGGAACCCAGAACCCGATCTAGGCCTCCCATGTGACTGACAGGGACCCCACCACTTAGGCCATCTCTGCTGCCTTCTGGGATCTGTGTTAGCAGGGAGATGGAATCGGGAGTCAGAGCTGAGGCTTAAACTTCTGCACTCCCATCCTGGGCTTGGGCATCTTAACTGTTCAGCCAATGCCTGCTTCTAGGAATGCCTTGAGGGAAAGCCGGGTGCACGAGGGCTCTCCAGGGTAGAAGCTGAGACTGCCCCCTTCACAGGTGTCGAAAACTTGTCCTACTCAGGGAGGAACAGATTCTCCAGGAGCAGCTATGGCAACATGCGCTGGGCTGAACCCTGGTCTTCGCGTGAGCCTCTCTGTGCCCAGGTAAGGGGTGGATGGACCAGGTCCATTCTGATTCTGGTGAGCAGGTTTGGACCAGGTCCCTATGGTGCTTGTGCCTCCTGAGATGTTCTTCAGAGGCACATGCTCTGGGGCCAGTTGAGCTCCTTGGAGCAACACCTCCTGGCACAGCCCTACCATGGTCATCCATGTGTTTTGTATTCTGGAACTGAAGGGCAGTAACGACCTTGAGTCTCCTAAATCCTTGTCAATATGTGTTGATGTGACATGAGGTATGCGCTAGGTGTATCAGGGATGGATTGCAAAGATAGCCCAATTTTTCCTCCATCAGTCCTGCACACATGTTCTTCGCCTGTCCCGTCACGGGCGCAGTTATTTCCTCACCCTTGAATTGGGTTTAATCAGGACACACGGGCAAGTTAACCAACAGTAGTTCTGAGCTGAGGCCTTGGGGGAATATGCACAGCTCCATTCCTGCAGCTGCAGAGGGCTGAGCCTGGGCTGACCTGGGAAGCAGGTATCCCACTTGGCTCAGGTGATAGCGGGGATGTCTTAGGTCTCAGGCTGCCTAGAACTGACTTCAGATGCAGGGGCAGGGGCGGGCATTCCACTGAGCCCACTTCAGAGGACTGGAGAACAAGAACAACCGTTTTAGGTGTCATGGCTGGTCTGTTTCCAAATCTTGCTTCCTCATTACATCACACACAAATTAATTTCTCATTTAAAAAACATTCTAATTTTCTAGACCTAGCATAAATAGCCTAGTGGCTAAGTCCTTGCCTTGCATGCATTGAGATCAAATTGAGCTGGTTCCTGTCCCAGGCACTCTACTTCCAGCTCCCTGTAAATCTGACTTTCCAATAGAAGGAGAGAAAGAGAAAGAAAAAAAGAAAGCGGGGTGGGGGGGGAGCTCTACTTCCCTTTCAGCTCCCTGTCTTTTTGCTGGTAGGAGCTGGTACGGTACTGGAGGCTAAATAGGTCAAGTTAAATTCCAGAACCACCTGGAGAATGCATAATCTGGGAGTGGGAGTGGCCTAGAAAGGAAATAGTGGGTTCCTCCCTCTTGGGTTACCACTCCCACTGGAGAGCACAAAAACCAGGACAGGGACAGGGGTGGCTAGACAGAAAGGCAACCAACATCATATGTGTGGGCTGGATAGGGAAGCTGGTTAGGTTGAACTAGGCTTCAATGCGCATTGACATATATGAGAGCTGAATGGGATGTGGGACAGACTGGACTAGTCTGCTGCACACACTGGCAAGCATGGGAGCCAGGTTAGGGGATGGGCCTGGTGGGGTTATTATGAGTTGCTCTGACTAGGCTGCAGCTCCCACTGGTTTATGTGAGGGCCGTGTGTGTGTTGGGCAGAATCAGGCTGGACTGCAACACCTATTAGTTCCAGTGGAAGACAGGGCTGGAAACAGAACTGACCCAGCAATTGCAACCATGAGCTGATTGGGGCGATGTGCTGTACAGGGCCCTGTACTTATAAGTACACACAAGAATCTGGTCTGGGATCACCTCAGACAAAGTTTCTTTTGGGATCTCCCCAAACTGCCGGACTCAGAACCCATGGTCTGCCATGGAGTGCAAGTGCCAGAGCCAAGCCTCCTCAGAGGCTCAGAAGGAGCAGTGGAGAGCATAACCAGCTGTACACGGAGGATATGGCAGTCTATCGGAACCTACATAGGATACCCGGCATCAGAACAGAGGTCAGAACAAATCAATCAACTACCCCAGCCATATGTTGGCAGTGAAAAACTGGGCAAACGGAGACTCTATGATGGACTATGTCAATCAGTGGATTCTGCAGCGACCTCATTATATTTGGAGTGGCGAGATTGGCAGCAATTCATAACTGTTGAACTATCAAAATCACTTGAGCAAGACCCTTGGAGCATGCCCCACATCAGGGACCTGGGATGGGTGGGAGACTGGGCAGGGCTTCTCCCTTTATCTCCCTCTTTACCCCAGATACAGGATAAAAACAATATGGAAATGATAGTCTTACCCAGTTTCCTGTTGCCCTGGAATCTTTGTGCCATAATTAACTATGTAAAGATTGTCAAAAATAAAGAAAACAATGGAAAATATATATATATTTTTTATTACAAAGTCAGATACACAGAGAGGAAGAGAGACAGAGAGGAAGATCTTCTGTCTGATGATTCACTCCTCAAGTAGCTGCAATGGTTGGTGCTGCTCTGATCCAAAGCCAGGAGCCAGGAACCTCCTCCAGGTCTCCCTTGCAGATGCAGGGTCCCAAGGCTTTGGGCCATTCTTGACTGCTTTCCCAGGCCACAACAGGGAGCTGGATGGGAGGTGGAGCTTCTGGGATTAGAACCGGCGCCCATATGGGATCTCTGCACTATGTGAGAGGGAGAGAAAGTCCATCTACTAGTTCAGTTCCCAAAGACTTACAACCAAACTGGCAGGCCCAGCTCCCAGGGTTTGCCTTCCTGGGAAGCTGCAGATAGGAGCTGGAGGGGAATTGAACCCAGGTACTATGATGTGAAATGGGTGCATCTTAACTGCTAGGTCAAACACCTGCCCCAGTATTCGGTTCTCAGACTCACTTGGTCTCCTTCCCCATCGTCCCTTTTGCTCATGATATTTGCTTTCTGGGGGTTACTCTAGCAAATAGCCACGGCCTGAGTGGTTTAAAACATCAAGAGCATTATTTGTCTGCAAGTTCAGAACCGATCTCTTTGGGTTACTCTGGAAGAGAGCAGTTGGGCCTGCTCCTGGGTCATGTTCTTTGCTGACAACCCTTGGCTGGGCAATGCCTGGACACACACACACATATAACCAGGGCAGGCTCTGCCCCCAGCAATTCCACCCAAGACTGAGGGAGTGTGCCCATTGGTCTGGTAGCTATAGAGATAGAATAGAATATTTTCTCTTTGGGACGCCCCTAACTTTCTACATCTGTTCGTTCGAGCTTGTGAAGCCTCTATCTTTGGATCACTGGTGGGAGGAACCCCATATCTCTTAGTTAATGCTGTTTGTGTGCCCAGACGACCTGCAAAAAATGCAGGTCCTGAGAGCCACTCTCTAACCCTGCTGGGCCTAGGCGACACAAAATACTCCCAGCCCTCATCCGCACACGGAACCCTGGGAGGCAGGACCGATCCAGGGCACCCTGGGCTTGGGAGGGCTAAGGTAACAGGCTGGGTACAGGCCTGACCGCTCTGAAAAAGTTTCCGATCATCCAGCTGCACGGCTTTCAAAGCACTCCCTGATCTGCTTAAATCAAGTCCCTTGCGTCCAGCAAACCAACAGATATGGGGACCTGTTGCACATTCGCGCCCCACCTGCTCCCCTGCCCAGCAGCCGCACACAAAGCGGCTCCTTCCCGCGGACGGGAGCGCGCAGGGCCGCCCTTGGGCGCGCCGCTCCCGGGCGCGGCGCGAGCACCCGCGCTCTGATTGGCTGCGCGCGGCCTCGGAGCTCCTCTGGCCACGCCCCGGTGCCCGTCCTGTCACCGCGATTGGCCGGGCGGCCGTGAGCGCACAGCCCGCGGCCCCGCGCGCTCCGCCCCGCCGGTGGGAACTCGCATGGGGCGCTGGCGGCGACCGAGGGAGCGTGACTGCGCTGCGCAGGGCGCTAGGAGGCATTGTCGCCGTAAGTGGAGCCGAAAGCGGCCCGGAGCGGGGCCGCGCACTTCATGCCCCGCGAAGTAAACGTAGTCTGAGGCCAAGCAGTGTAGGGGCTGGGGGAGAGAGGGCGAAAAAGGTCCTGGTTTTCCAGTGTCCCCTCCCCTCCCCCAGGTCGCCCGGTGGGTGACAGGGCAGCGGCGCACTGGTTCCGGCGGCGCCCCGGGGGCCCAGCTCGCGCCTCCCTCTGCTTGCGTCCTCAGCGGGACCCTGACGGCTCGGGCGCGTGGGGACCGTGCTTCAGGGGAGTAGGGTGTGCGGAGAGGTCTTCCCGGGAGGGTTTCCATCTCCGGGGGAGGCGGCCTTGCGGGTATCTTGACCCCGGAGCGACACTTGGGGGTTTGCTTCCGCTTTGAGGAGCTGCGGACGCCTGTCCCGGAGCGTGCCTTTCGGCCTATGGGCGGCACGGGAAGTCCCCCCAAGTGCGACCCCCTGGTCTACGCTGCCCATTGATTTCGCGCACCGGCTCCTGGCCCTGCCATTGCGTGGGGTGGGTGAGCTGAGAGCGCCCAGACAACGGACGGAGAGCATTCCCCAGTTCCTTGGTGCAAAGCCGAGGCGCCAGCGCGTTCCATTGACGTGCGGACGGACTTCTTGCCTCGGTGTGGGAAAGGAGGTCAGATGTGTCCTGCGGCTTAGTGGGCTTTAGGACCCTTTGGGGCCACCCGAAAGTCCCCCTCGGTTTGCCTCCCTGCAAGTTTCCCAGCTTGGCATGGTCGGCAGGCCGGGCTGGAGCCAGCGCGCTGGAGACTGTGCGCGCAGGACTCAGAGGGCTCGAGTTGCTGGCGGAGCGGCTGCCAGGCTCTAAAGTTCCCAACTGACCACACCAGTAACTAAATATAGGAGCAGCTGGTGCGCACGGGGTGTTGCAGCTGCTTCTTTGCAGAGATCTCAGGACTACAGATAAGCTAGCCTTCTCGCTGCTAACGGTGGGAATTGGGGGGCTGTGACCAGGGTTTAAGGGAAAAAAAAAATCACCCCTGCCCTGTGTTGTGTCCAGATTAAATTAGCTAGTGGTCAGGGGTGTGGATAACCCTTCCCAGTTATTTCCCTAGCTTTCAGTTTGTGACCAGCTCTGAATGCGCCTGTTTAATCACCTACTTGGTGGTCAGAGACCTGGTGCACAAAGGCCTTTCTCACAAGTCCCCTGTGTATTTCTTCTCACGGCCACCCAGGGAGGAAGGTGGTCTGTCCATTTTATTGATGGGGCCGCCCAGAACAGCACATGGATAACCTTCCAGTTCCTTGGTTTCCTGTAGAGAAACAGGACAGACAGCTCACAGGGGCATGGCAGCCCCCCTTCTCTTATGAGGAACAGGTGGTTTTAGCTAAAGGGAGAGGAGGGGGGATGCCTCTTCAGTCCCTGAAGGGGATGAGTTCAGGTCCTGGGAACATTGGGGTCTACCTCTGTGCTGTACCCCTGTGCCCCAAGTGTCCTGTGGAATATAAAGGAGTTTCTTCCAGGTGTGTGAACCCAGACTTCTTGATTTGTTCCTCCTCCTGTACTTGTGACCCCCGACCCAAGATTTATATATTTATTTGAAAGGCAGTTACAGAGAGAAAGAGAATGGGGAGGAGGCAAATCAGCCATCAGTGGCCCACTCTCCAAATGGATGCAAGGAGCCAGGAACTCATTCTGTTCTCTCCTGTGTGGGTGCAATGGCCTAAGCCCTCAGGCCATCTTCCTGTGATGCTGAATGGAAAATGGAGCAGCCAGGAATAAAGCAGTATCCATATGGGATGCCTGCATAGTAGTTGGCAACTTTAATTCTCTATGGCCTAAGGCCTTCCCGAGAGTGGTTTTTTTTTTGCTGATTTTCATCTCTGGACTAAGGCACCACCTCCCCCTGCAGGCAGCCAGTGGAATTGCAGGTATAGGACCTGGTGGGTTAGGGCAGCATGACCAAAATGTAGGACAGATGGGCGGGGGAAGAACTAAGGCAAACTGGACCCTTTCCGTTCTGCGATAAGAGCTTGAGTGCTTCATCAGAATAAACATACAAAGCTATTTCCTGTATTTCTCCTCTCTGTCTTCATTCTGGTGACCTACTAAGTGCTCAGTGAATGCTTTTGACTTTGGTGGTGACTGTCAGAGATGGGGAAAGGAGAAGCATAGTATGGGGAGGAGTCCTTGTCTGGGAATCAGAAGACCCTATTGCTTGTCCATCTAACAAGGAAACGTCTGGGGCCTCAGAGTTCCCGTTCACAAAGAGGTCAAACTTGATTGTCAAGGTCCCCGCAGCAGTGCTGCGATTCGGGCAGCTTTGAAAGCAGCATGGTCAAGGTGTTGAGTCGTTTGCCACAGTCCTTCCCATTCCCTATTGGCCTGCCCTGGCCCACCTTACCCAGGGAGGTGCCCACCTGGAACCTTTGGCATATGGATGTAGGTGGTGTGTGCTGATCTATATTCAGATGTGAAACTCCCGTGGTGACTGTCGGTCAGCACGGTCAGGAGCTGCGAATTCATTTACTGACTCGGTGTGGGCTTCATAGTTCAGGGCAGAAACGTAGCCCAGACCTGCTCTCTACCTCACGCTGCTCACAGGCCAGTGGGAAGACAAGTGTATGCATAAGATTGTATAAGTATAATCTTATTTATTCAAAAGGCACAGGATGGAGACAGAGCTCTGCTGTATGCTTGTTTGCTCCCTAAATGCCTGCCACAGCCAGGGCTGAGCCAGGAGAGCCAGAAACTCCATCCAGCCCTCTCCTACATATTTGAACCCTTGCTGCTGCCTCTCAGGGTCGAGTTAGCAGGAAGGTGGAGTCAGGATCCAGTGCTGAGTAACCCACCCAGGCACTCTCAACAAGTGTCCTCAGCACCAGGCCAAATGTGTTTTTAAAGCCTTCGGAACCACCCAGGTGACTTAGGCTCAGTCACTGAGGGCTGCTGAAACCCAGAGGGAGGAGGGAACCCTAAGGGTTGGGATGACCAGGGAAGGCTTCCTGGAGGTGGAGAAATGAAAACTCATTCCTCAAAGATGGTTTCTGCTGAGTCATTTGCTCAGAGTCACACAGGTGCGTTGCTGAGACCAGATGCCGGGAGCTGTTTGTCTTCTTCACCAGCATTTACTCGTGTGGCATGGGTTCCATGCTTCTAGATATACAGGTGCACGTATTTTGTTAGCATGTGAATTCGGTGAAGTGGATATGACTAGCTCTTCTATTCAGGGGAGGAAACTAGGTTTAGAGGTGCTCAGAAACTTCAGTGCATCTCTGCTTACTAACACGGGTTGAGCACCCGGCCTGTCTCCAACAGCCTTTTCCCACGATACTGTGTGTTTTAGGGTCAGCCTGTTTGGCAAAGTGCACCCTCAAGTGGATACTCACATCTGATCTCCCAAGCAGGTGGTCTTGACCTTGCCCTGTTTGTGTGATGGAGTTTCTGGGACTTTTGGGGTCTAGAGCAGCAGCAAGCTCCCACTCCACGCTGTACCTCACTTCTGCTTTTCCCCTTCTTTGACCCTTGCTACAATTCCTGAGATATCAAAAAAGCTGGGCTTAGGGCCAAGGGGGAATTACTGGGCCCTGACCTTGGCCTCTAGTTTGTGCCTGTCTGTGGGATGCTGTTGTAGGTGATATGGGTGGATCACATGCAGCCTGGGATGGCTGCATGCCATGTCGGTGTGTCTGGGTGTGAATCCTGTCTCTGCTCTGGGTCGCCTCTTCTTGCTAAGGCATACCCTGGGAGGCAGCAGGTGACCTGGGTTGAGTTTCCATTTCCTGGCTCTGGCCTGGCTCAGCAGGCATTTGGGGGAATGAACCAGTGGACAGAAGACCTCTTGTCTCAATCCTTGTCTCTCTGCCTTTCTAGTTGAAAGAAGAAGTAGTGAATGCTGGATGTGCACTTGGGCTGACTTGATGGTGGCTACAGATTTTGACCTTGGCCAGGTCATGTAGCCTCTTTTGATGCCTTCACTTCTTCCTCTGTAATTACTGGGAGCTGGGGGCATCCCTTTGTGCTCTGGCTTTAGCGCCTCTCATGGGGCCTTCCTGGCCTTTCTCTAAGTGTCTTTCCCATGGTCATCCACATTTTCCTCTCTCAACCCTGCCACTTTGCCTGCATAGGAACTCTGTGTCTGGCTGATGATCAAGTCTGTGGTCAGGTTAACAAACTCCTGCTGCACGTGGTTGCGAGCGGAGGTGGGTCTGAGAGACCACCCCTACCATCCTATGAGCTCCTGGAGACTCTGGGCTCCAATTTGCCTTGGTGTCCTCCCTTGCTGCCTGCAGGGGGCGTCTGGCCCACGTAGCTGGATTGGCCAGGGGAACGGAGGCCTTGTTCTGCTGTAGGCAGGCATTGTCCTTGTCCTGCTGTGGGCAGGAAGCAGGCTCGGAAGGAGACTGTGGGATGGGACCACAGGGGTCCTTCCCCTGCAGGCATATGACTGTGCCTGCCTGCTCTCCAGAGCCCTCCCGGTACAATGAGTCACAGGCCAGCATACACTTTAGTCCTCTTGCTTGTTGGGCCATTAGTTCTGGCCCACCACCCTGGGGCTGGTGAGGTCACCTGTGCTGAGCCTTCCAGAATGCTGGTAGTGCCCAGCTGCCTCCACCCTCTGACAGGCAGCTCAACTCCTGTGCAGGCCAGGCTGGGTGTAGCCTGGTCTGTAGGTTCCTTGAGAGGAGGTGAGTGGCAGCCTGGGTCTCCAGGGAAGGAGGAAGCTGGGGTGGGACCCTAGGCTGCCTGGCAGGTGTGTCACAGCCCTGCCTCTTCCCTAGGTGCAGGCCCCTTGGTGAGCAGCAGACCGGCCTGGAGGCTGGCAGCAGGACATCCGAGTCTGCATGCTGAGGAAGATGGGTGAGGCCGTGGCCCGGGTTGCGAGGAAGGTCAACGAGACGGTGGAGAGCGGCTCCGACACCCTGGGTGAGTGAGGGCTTTCAGCATGGTGGAGAGGCGACCCGGAGAGAAAGGAAGGACACGGTGTTAGGTGTGCCACCTCACATCCCAGGGACGAACACTGTGTGAACCTGCACCGACATTCCGTGTGGTTTGTGACAAGAACGCCAAAGTGCGAGACCTGTGTCGTACTGAGGGCTGCAGCCAGAGAGGTCTGAGAGATACCCCCTGCCCTCGCATTGCTAGTGATGGTGACCGTGCACCAGCTGGCACTGGCTGTGAGTCCTGTTCTAGGTGCCCCTTGTTGGAGCCTCACTGCCTCCCTGCCATGAACTGTCAGTTCTCAGTCTACAGGCAGGGGGAGGCGTGATGCCCAAGCCTGGCATTGTGTCAGGAGCATCCTAACCTCACAGTGGCATTTTCTGGCCTAAGCAAGGGTGAGAGGGGCTCTCCTGTAAGTGCAGACCAACGTGGGGGTTCTGTTTGGTCTGGGAGGAGCGTTTGCGCTGCTGGCCGCAGGCTCTGAGCCAGGGAGCTCAGGCATCCCTCATTAGAGCCCCCCTGTGTTTGGGACTTTGTACGGCTGCTGGTGTGAGGAGGGCCAAGCTATGGGTCCCACAGGTTTGGGCATGAACTCCCTGCTTCCCGGTACCCACCAGCCAGGACCTGAGCAGGTTGTTCCAGCTTTCAGAGCCTTGGCTGCTTCATCTATAAGCCAGGTATGGCAATTATGCCTTCCTCATCAGGGTGGTGAGGAAGGATTGTGGGGTCTGTAAGGTGCTTGGCAGCTCTTGTTTTTAAGCTTTGCTGTCCTTAAAGGCTGAGGCCTGAGATATTCCCATGGAGGGGACTGGGCTTTCCAGGTCAGAGATTTTTCCTGGGTTGGGGTGGAGGGTATAAGGTGGAGGAGAGGTCTAACCTTGACAATGGCCAGAGAAGAAACAGCAAGTCAGACCAGGCCCTTGCGGGTACGTGTGCTCCTGACCAAGCTCCTCAGGGCCAAGGAAGGAGCCTGGGGTCCAAGCAGTCAGCGTGTGTTGAGCACCTGCTGTGTGCAAGGTGCTGACAGGTTTCCTAGGGTGTGTGTGATGGAGGAGTCCTGGGTCTGAGATCAGCCCACCACCTGTCAGACAATCGCAGAGTGATGAGACACTCAGGCTCCAGGCAGAGCGGTGTGGGGTGGATCACTGCTTGTATTTTGGAGGTAAGGAATGTTGTTGGGAGTAGAAGTAATCCAGGAAGACTTTCTGGAAGAGATGGGAAATGACTACAATGGACAGGGCTGAGCCAGGCCAAAGCCAGGCCAAAGCCAGGAGCTTCTTCTGGGTCTCCCATGTGGGTGCCGGGGCCCAAGCACTTGCACCATCTTCAACTGCTTCCCTAGAACATTAGCAGGGAGCAGGATTGGAAGTAGCTGGGTCTTGAACTGGCACCCTTGTGGGATGCTGGTTCATAGGCAATGGATAACAATTCTGGTCCCTTGAATCAGCTTGTTACAGCTAGCTGCAGTGGCATTTATGTAGCTGTTAGCAGTCACATACAGCAGTTGCCATCACATGCTTCAGTAGAAATTGGCACATTCTCATGTATGACACCAACTGGAAAAAACCAAGGATCCCAAACTGGGCGTGCTGTGAGACAGTAGTTATGCTCAGCACGTGCGAATACAAAGAAGGGAAGCAGAAGCCAATCAAACAAGATGCAAATGGGAATTAGGGCACAGCATTCTGCAGTGTCTAAATGTTCCATGGTGAATACGCTGTTTTTCAATTGGTAGGAAAAAGAGAGTTTAGGGTAAGAATCATCCATGGGGGCAGCGCTTGGTATAGCGGGTAAAACCACCACCTGTAGTGCCAGCATCCCACTTGGGCACTGGTTCTAGCTCCAGTTGCCCCAGTTCTCTATGAATGGTCTGTGTAAAGTGGCACAGGATGGCCCAAGTCCTTGAGCCCCTACATGCACGTGGGCGATCCAGCTGAAGCTCTCTGGCCATTGCAGCCTTCTGAAGGTAGAGGGTGGAGGGAACCAAGGGATAAAAGATAGATTTCTCCCTTTCTCTTTGTGACTCTGACATTAAAATAAATCAATTAAAAATGAAAAAAGAACCCCTGCCACCACAGAAGGTATAAATAAACCCAGTCCTAGCACCAGCTGTTGGTGCAGGCAGACCGTTTCCTAAGGCCCTTGAGGTGGGGCTGGTGTCCCTGGCTTGCCCCCACCCCCACGCTGGGCTGCCCCTGTGTGCACAGGCCAGTGCGGTGGCTGCTCCCAGGCTACAGCTGTGTTGTTATGAGGTGGGAGATGCCCCTATAGAGGCGGGCTGGCCCTCCTTCCTCAGGAGGTAGCCTGGGCTGGAGCCACGCTGAGCAGGCTGCTGCTGTAACCCAGCCTGTGTCACCTGCTCCCACCGTGTTCCATCTTCAATCTCCCTACCTCCTGGAAATGGGCTCCTTTCCCTCTGCAGACCCCTCCCCACAAAGGTCCCCAGCTGCATTGGCAGTGGCTTCCGTTCCAGCCCCTGCCCCTTCTCCTGCACTGGCTTTGCAGCTCTTCAGCACCCCTTTCCCCACCCTCCTCTCTTCCCCAGGTCAGCAAACTGTGTAAGGCCTCATGCCTGTCTGGGCATCCCCGGGTCCCCGTCCCTCAGCCTCCCTGAGCCAGGGCACTGGCAGACCAGGCTACTCCAAGGCTCACTTGCCTCCCCCAGCCCCAGCAGAGGCTCGCATTTGGTAGATGACAGCAAGGAATGAGCATTCTGCCTACGAGTGGGGTGCATGTGGCAAGGGAGGGCAGGGGAGCTGGGGTGGAGGCATTGGTAGGCTGGGAAGAAGCAGAGGCCATCACAGCTTGGGCTTTCAAACCCCTGGGGCCCGCAGACCATCAGGCCAGGCTGAGGGAGAATCAGGAGGTCTCTGTGGTGCTGTCTGTCCCGTCCTGTCTGTGACCTCTGGGGCTCTTGGTGTTGCCTGCCAGGCAAGCATCTGGTAAACACTTAGCTGGTTGTGACACATTTAATCCTCGTGACAGACAGTCCTGTGATGTGGTGATGTTGACATCCTCATTTTGCCTGATGACAAAACCGAGATGCAAAGTGGCTTCTTTTAAAAAATTATTTTTTTAAAACTAAAAAATAATTAATTAATTTTTAAAAATTTATTTTTATTGGAAAGGCAGTTTTACAGAGAGAAGGAGAGACAGAGGAAAGATTTTCCATCTGCTAGTTCACTCTCTAAGTAGCCACAACAGTCAGAGCTGAGCCAATCTGAAGCCAGGAGCCAGAAGCGTCTTCTGTGCCTCCAATCAGGTGCATGGTCCAAAGGCTTTGGGTCATCCTCGACTGCTTTCCTAGGCCACAAGCAGGAAGCTGGATGGGAACTGGAACAGCTGGCATATGAGCCAGCACCCATATGAGATCATGGCGCATGCAAGGCAAGCACTTTAGACACTAAGCTACCATGCCAAACCCCTGCAAAGTGGCTTTGTCTCTGGTACTTCCCAGGGTTGTGTTCCAGCTGCTTGCTTCCCGCCCCCAACACCACTGTCGCTTCCACCCCATTGTCACTTTTAAGGTAACCATTTAGCATTTGCCTGGCATACTCAACGCCAGAGATAGTGTGCCAGTGACTTGCGGGTGATGCAGCTGTTTGGGGCAGAGGGCATTGGGTTGCATCACAGGTGCAGAGCTGGCATGGAGAGGGTGTGGGCGAGGAAGAGGATGACTGAGTGACCCGAGCACTCGATGCTTGCTGGCCTCACTTGTTCTCCCTTGGAAGTGGAGTTGGCCTGGCCTGCCCGCTATAAAGCAGGAAGATCATCAGAGGCTAATGCCTACCCTGATCACAACATCATTGTGAGGGTGTCTCAGGCGGCTGTGGGGTGGGGCCGCTGTCCCCACAGGTCACTCCCAAGTGGCAGATGTGCCTGGACCAGGCGGTCCTGCCCTCCCACAGTGTAGTGCCAGAACCAGTAGCCCTGGCGTAGTCAGCGCGCTATGTCAGAGCTTACACTCTCTGAGGGTGGGGTGGGGGTGGTCCTTAGCTCAGCAAGCCCTGCACATCATTCATCCATGCCTTGGGCTTGTTTCCAGGCGGCCCTTTGTAACCATGGCTTCAACCAACCACAGAGTCAGGCTCCTACGGGTCGGGTTGCATCTGTAACTGACACGTGCAGGCTTTTTTTTTTTTTTTTTTTTTGGCATTGCAAGCCATCTAGATATGATTTACAGGCTCCTGAAGAATGCACGTGACTTATATGCAAATAGCATGCTATTTGATCCCAGGGACCTCTGTTGGGGTCTGTTCTGGATCCCTCCCCACCCCCAGGAGACTAGGGACGACTCTTATCAAGGTATCATTTGGATGCCCGAGAGCGGCTCCTGCTTGTGCGTCATTTTATCAGTTTTGATAGACACACGCAGTCGAGTCTCACCATTGTGACCGTATCAGCATCTCCGTCGCCTCCAGAAGCCTTGCCATGCTCCCTTGCAGCCAGACCTGGCTGGCAAGCAGGAGCCTCTCACCTGTGTCCAGCCTTAAAGGTGTCCAGATCTAGAGGGTCGTGCGCATGGAATCCTGCAGCGTGTCGCCTCTGCGCTGCAGCTGCCTGTCCTGAGTTTGTGTGTCTCGGGTTCTCTCCTTTCATTGCTGAGTCGGGTTGCACTGTGTGGCTAGGCTGTGAGCTCTTCATCCACTCCTCTCTTGAAAGATAGTTGGGTGTTTGCAGATTTTCTTTAACATCCTACATAGATCCTCTCAGCACATACAATTCTTTGTGTAAAGCAGAGGATTCGCTTTGCTTAGGTAGATGCAGCGGAGTGGTATCGCTGTGCTGTCGGTACTGGGTGCGGGTTTAGGCATAAGATTACCATAGGTGCTTCCCAAGTGGCTCTGAGTGCCAGTTCTTTTACAGCTGTGTCAGGACTCAGTGAGGGTTTTTTATTACACGTATGTAAACACCGATTTATTTGAAAGCCAGAGATACACACACACAAGAAGCAACAGAGAGATCTTTCATCTGTTGGCTAGCTC